CTCATTTTAGGCTCTAAATGAGTGCAAAGTTTCACTGCGTTTCATGATAGTTTATTTGCACAATCCATCGCATGAGGCCTGTGAACGCTTTGTACGTGAAACTTTGCTCAGCCAACCGATGAAACTGTTCCTGGAACGAAATGATATCGTTTTGTTTGGCGTATCTGTACGCAGCCAGGAAGGATACAAAGGTAAGAATGGCAATGAAAAAAATTGACTAACGCATCGGCTGCCAGTGCGAAGATGCGTTGTTTGCATAGTTCCCCGCGGTTTTTATCGCTACCGGCACTGGTTTTCCCGGCAAATGCTTTTAGCTAATCAAATTAAGGCTGCCCGCCAGGATTGTCAGGAAACACCCCCTTAAAATTTCAGCTTTGTAGCTTTCCTGGCTCCCGAATTAGCAACTTATCCGAAAAAAACTTTCACAGACCCGTACTTGGGTACCACGCATACTCGGTGTATGGGTTTGAGCTCATTAATACCTACTTGAATGGGGAACATCCCCTTAAAATTTCAGTTTCCCGAGTTAATAAATTACCCGGAAAAACTTTCACGAGCCCGCACGTGGGTACCACTAGGGTAATGGCCCCGTTTTGGGGGTTGGGGCTCGTACGTGCATGTGGATTAAGTTCCCAAAGTTTCAGCCCTGCAGCTTTTGTAAGTCTTGAGATGAAAAATCGGTACAGACGCGCACAGAGACACACACAGACAAACCTTCGTCAACATACGTTTTCTGCATTACATAGATGCATAAAAAACTATTCAAAAGGCGTTTTTGTTCAGTTTTTAGGTTTTTCAAAGATCATGAAGTACTTATATTGACATCACTTCGTATCACTGATTTGCTTAATTTTTTTTTTTTTCAGTTTCAATGGCGCTTCGAGAAAACACGTATCCCTTCCTTGGTTTGTTGTGTATGCGCGATACGCGAATGGTTCTGGTAAGCTAACCTGTTTTTGATGATGCCTTTATCAGTGTTGGTGTCTGCTGCCCTTATGATACGAACTTTTGGTGTTATTTCACTGGACTGTCGCTTCACCAGCAATGCCTTCGTGTTTTTAACGCAGCCAGCACTTCTGCGTGGCTGCTGTAACTGACGCAGAATTGCCCCGGTCACTAGTTTGTTGGCGATTCTTGCGCTTGTTTTCCTTTTTTCCTTCGCTTCTTTAGATGTACCATATTCGCACTTCGCACTTTTCAACTTGATGGACCGAAACGTCTTATTCTTTCCTCCTTTCCTCATTCTCTTCTGTTTTTTATCCAATACGCCTTCGACACTTTGGCATCCAAAGTCAACCTGAATGCGACAGTCGACTTATCAGCCTGGATAGCTCCTGGGTCCTTCTATATTGCCCGTAAAATGTATGAGATATGTCAGAAATTAGGCGTGTAATGGATCCCATTCTCAGTGGATTCCGAGAAAGGAGGTATATGAAGTCACAGAAGGAGATAGTCACGTGGTTATTTGCTCAAAAAAACGGACAGTAATGGAAACATTGAAAAAAATCACGCCAAGTTTGCTACTTTGCGCATGCTAGGCATGGGCAGTAGAAAGCTGGTCAAGAAGGAATCTCAGTTTTGAATAGAAGCATTTAGGTTTTACGACTTGAAGGCGAATATGAACTGGAGCCAATGCTTCACACAATGCAGACATCGATTGACGAAAATCGCCTGTATTTGGATGCTATTAAACATGAA